TTTTGTTATTGTCGTGTTTTGGTTTACTTAATAAGACTCCAGACCCTTTCTTCTTAGTCCTGCTGTATTTGTTTGGTTGTCAGGTTTGAGGCCGGGTGATGAGATCGTGGTTCTGAACGGGTGTGAGGTGTCGTCTCTAGACCTTGATCTTATCCAGACGCTCTTCAGTGAGCAGACCCTGCATCTGACCATCAAGCGAGACCCTCCACCGCACAGGCACGACCAAGCCCCCATTCACAATCACAGCAGTCATCAGCAGCTACTGAAGGACTACTTCTACCGCCACCACAGAGCCAAGTCTGCTACAGGTGATTAAACCCTCACATGCATTCAGACACTCATTGTTTTTATGTAATGCCAGGACATTGGGTCATACACCCAATAATTCATGTATTCTCAAAAAAAACATGCATAATAGAGTTCTGTGCAGAAAAAAGTAGTGTTTTTTATTTCTATACGTTGTTGTCTTTCTTTTTTGTCTTTTTAAAGCTGTTTGAGACACTATGGTTCATTAGTGCTTCTCTCATGACAAATTATTCCAGGCTTACAAACCCTCAGACAGATTCCTGTAAATGTGCTCTTCACACATGCAGCACAAACACAGTGACAGATGGCATGAAAGTGTGCATCACACTTCCACATATATGCTACTACTTTGTGAAAGCTGTGGTGTTTGCGAGAGAGTGTGAATGTCTGTGAGGGTATGAATATCTACTGCTTTTGTCGAATTGTTTTGTAGGTTATATTGATTATTAAAATATAGAAGACAGATGTTCCTGTTTTCTCTTATTCAGTTGTCAAAGACAGTTTAGTGCGTTTTTCCTTTTTTTTAAGACTAAAAAATTAAACTTCAGACGCCCAAATTATATTACAGGTGGATATGATGCTACAGATTCAAATCAAACATACCAGCAGTAGAATCCATTTTATGGCTGTTTACTACGTATATTAGTAAGTTGTGTTTCAGCGCTTGCCCCACCTCACCACAGACTTCCTCTCTAGAGCCCTTACAAGTTGCCTTCTGCTTCCTCTAACTGGAATCTTCCGCTCTGACTGACAGACTGTAACAAAAGCTGATAAGCCGATAGCATCTCTTTAGATTGGATGTTGTAAGAAGGAGCGTAACTATGTGCTGTGGTTCGAAGTGTTTTTTGAAGAAGCTTTGAGGCATCTCCGGTAGGTGACATGCGCTAAAGAATGCAGTTAGTATATCTGTACTACTACATGCACTTTTAGTAGTGGTCTGCTTCCAGGTTTGCTTTTAGGATGCTGGACACATTAGGTGGTTAATGAAACAACCTTTTTTGAGCTGAATATGTGCTGGTAAAGCTGTTTAAGCCATATCTCTTAATAGTACGTAAAGCTTGCTAGCGCTTTTTCTCAGAGTCGAGTTCCAGTCAGCGGTTGTGTCAGTCTTTCTAATGATGTGAAGTAAGTGCCCACCATCTTATGACATCCTATTGACACTGCAAAGATGCGGTGAAGAGGTTCTTATTTGATGCATTGATAATGAAACACAAATGCAGATTTTTTGAAAGAAGTTTAAATAATTGGAATAAGTCTAGAATAAAACAATCTATATCTGTCTTTATTTATAATACAGTCCCATACAAATGCTTGAACACCACCAGTCAAATTACATTCTGTTGATTTTTGTAAATGTAAAATGGATTTGTAGAGTTTAACATATAGGAAATAAATAAAACACAATATGGTAAATGTGCCATAGCTTTTGCACAGGCCACGTTTTCTGTTTTGTTTATTTAATTCATGTTAAATTCAAAACAAATTCGAAATACAAAAATACAGCTATACACCCAATTTAACACAACAGTTGCTCAACATTCAAGAACTTAAATGTAAACTCACTCTAAATTCCTCAGATGTGTTTTATGAATGAGCTTTATTCTTTTGCAGAGCTGATGGAAATGCAGCCTCATTCGCATAATTTTTTGTGGCTTTTTGGTTGTTTGCTTGAATTATATTCCACAGCTAAATGGAAACCTGGCTAATGACACCATGAACAGAGCTGAAGCAGCCTGATGAAGTTACAGAGTTCTTGGAAAAGCCAACGTGATGCTAAGACATCTCACACTCACTCATTCATGCGCCCACAAACACTTGTGGCCAGGCTTGTTTGCTCAAGCCAGTGATGTTTCTGGCTTCGGTATATGCACTTTTACATTCAGTTACAGCAGTAGACATCAGCACCTCACAGCCTGACGAGGAAGAGAAGGACTGTTAACATGTTCATCTTTACAAATACATTTAGATTCAAATTTCAGATGTTTAGATATTTAAGAATGGGTTATCGTGAGAGGTATTTTGTTTTTAGGGCTGCACAACACTTTCCAATTGTTGTCACGATATTGTTCTGTATAATACTGAGGCTGAAATATGCAGATGAGCCCTCTGACCAATCACAGTGTTTTTTTACTGGGTGCTGTGAGCGTCTTGACCAATTATAGATCCAGATGAGTGTTTACATGAGAGAGATATTCAAGTAATCCAACTAAATTGTGGTCAAAAATAATGCAATTATTGTTGCTTTATTGATTCCATTAGTGTCCACTCTGTTTTTGATATATTACAAGGCATATTGCAGTCTGTAGTAGTGCTGGGCTGTAAGAGCTGATTGCGATTACTTAAGCTGACCGCAGTTATTTTCCACAGTCGCGCACAAAAAAATTTCGTCCAGTTTGGTTTGGTTTTGTTTTGTTTGAGGCAAGTGAATATAAATAAAAGAAAGCAGCAAATGCCTTTATTCAGACTCGTATTCGGTCCGTTGAAAACGGCAAAAGTTCTAAATCCTGAGTGCTGCTGTAACACTCTAGAGGGCCGCGGTGAGTAATTGTTTATTTGAACTCGTCTGTTTGGAGCTACTAACTGTCGACAGCTAGGGAACAACATAGATAGGAAACCACATCTTTAGCTTAAATTTCACAATCAAGACAGACAGACAAAACAGGGGTGACTGCAGTGCTTGTCATTTTCTGGGTGCTTCTGATTGGTTTGAAAAAAAAATAAGTAAATAAAAATAAATAAATAAATACTATATTTAATTTCTGGAAATGTGGTTTCAGTCTGGTTAATATTTGCAGCACTGTATCAGATTCCCTTTGGTGTCATTTTAAGAGAAACAGAACAGGACAAGCCGTTTCCAAAGCATGAGGAAGTCTGTGTTTGCTAATGTCTCTTCAGTTCATTAGAACTGGTGACCTGAATTGTGTTGTATACTTGCTTTCATTCCATAAATACTCATTGCCTTGAGCGTAGCAGTCACGCCTCTGTGGCTGCAGTTGCTAGCCAGTGCCTGTAGGGGTGCTGTGTGTTCCTGAGCAGGGCTTTGAGATGGGAGATCAGATGCACACTCCTAGCTGAGACTCCACTTAATGAAATCACTCCTGCTGAGCGCTCTTATTATACATCTAACAATGTGTGGCATGTTCCACACGCACAAAGCATGCTCCACAGGGAAATGTCTATTTATATACAACTCAAGCCCAATAAGTGTTCTTTTGTGAGTGTGTACATGTTCGAGAGAGAGAGGCGAACGTTGCGAGACGGCTTTGGTTCTTCTGCTTTAATGTGATTGCAAAGAGTTGTATTATTACGACAGTTATTTCTGTAAGGCCGAAAGTGAAAGCAGTATTGGATGCTGGTTTAAAGATAATTTTAATGCCTTGTCCCAGTTCTGAGAAAGTCTTAATCTTAGGCTTAATTGGTGTTATACTGACTGCAATGAGGATATTCAGTGCCTCTCCCCAAGTCCCTCATTTCGTTAAGCAAAAATGGGTTAATATGTGCGGTTTTAAAAGGGAAGTTCCACCGATTTCTCAAAATTTCTGCATAATTAAACCAATAGGATTAATGGTTTAGCATAAACAGTCATTTAGAATTGTTTGATCTAAAATGTTACTTTTTACACAGACTTGCCAAGTAGGAGTTGTGCACAGAGGTGGTGATGGGGACCAGACATCCGAAATATTTAACACCTTTAAAAGCTACATCACTGAAAGTTAATATACAAAGCGGTTATGAATAGGCTGACTGGTGGCTGAGGCAGTGTTTTACAGTACTTTTGAGAAAGTTTTGGCTGGAAATGTTTTTAAAAATCAGTTCAAGAGATGCATGTAAGGCAAAACAGTCCTCAAACATTTTACTGTCATCAACATTACATATAAAAGCTCAGAAGACACGAGGAGGTTCACTGTACATTTTGTTTAGTGAATAAATTATATGTATTTGCACTGTGGATATTAAAACCCCTGGTTCCCATCACCACCATTATAAAGAAATTGGTAAAAGAGTCAGTGAGTTTCTATATGATTTGCATCATATAGAATGATTTGTTGAGCTATATTATGCATAAATTTTGACAAATCAGGTGAAATGCCTTTTAATAGTAATGCTGAAAATGTGCTTGTAGCTTTATTCATGTAGTGCTTCTCATGCAAACCTTACATGCTGTAAAGACAATGAATTTGATATGAATTAGAATAAAAAAAGAATGTTTAAAAAGAAATGAAAAGAATTAAAAGTAGAAATTTGTGTTGCCAAAAAGCACTTAGAAATACCAACTAAGGTTGAGCTTGACAGAAATTAAGATATACAGAAATAAAATAAGTCAATATGAATAAATTAAATACATGCAGTCATTCACTCTGCACAACCTTACTGCATGCATAATGCTGCATGTGGAAAAGCTCTTTTCAAGTCACTTCCAGCAGTGAACTTCTGAAGCTTCTTAAGACATCTGAAATGCTTGAAATGCTTAGGATAGGACCCAACATAGTATATTAGCTCTTTCATTACCCCACTGCACTGCAGCACTTCATGTCACAGCACATGCATTTCCAGCTGAGAATGCATGAATAATCAGCCTGTTTTTCTTCCCTCTTTCCACAGATGTGTCATGTGTGGCAGAAGGCTCAGGTAAAGCTGTAGAGAATGGTCTACAGCATCCTCACCACAGCCACAGAGCAGTGCAGCACAGCAAGGTAAGAGTTAACTAAGCTTCACAGCCTCGTCATATCATACAGCTGGAGTTTCCAAACGGTCCAGAGATATTTAATTTCGTCCCCCGTGTGTCATACGCAATGACTGCACATTTAGATGAGAGGAGGTCTTGATTTGCTTTGTAGGGCAAAAAAAAGGAAAAAGCTTGTGGAGTCTATAAATAGAGCTGTCTTGTCTGTTTCTGATGCTAAATTCGGAGAGGCTTAAAAAAGGGTTTATTTTAAGAAAGAATAGCCTTTATCTTTGTATTGTGATGTAGTGGAATGAGTGAAATGATGAAAGAGCAAAATCATTTATTTTTAGTTTCTGAGATTAGGGTTAGGTGTAGGGTTAGGCTTAGTGAAATCTTATACAGCACTGTAAAAGTCAGAGACAACCCTTTCATTTGTTCAATTTCCAGTGAAAACTGCCATTAAGTACTTAAGTTATTCATTTTTTTATTGTTGGGGGGGGGGTGCAAAAAACACATGTAACAGAAAATTACACAAAAGCTTTAAAAATGAGATCTAATTTAATTTTGATTGTATTTAGTGTGCCCACGCTTTACCTTTATTGCAGCTTCCATTCCTTTCGAGAGGGAACGTTTTTCCACACCTCCAAATTTCAGTCTTAGAAGTCGATTGCATTTTCTGCTGCTCACAATCCGAGTTTCAGTCCATAAAACCTTCCTTCACACTTTACATGTCCAGTTTCAGGGTTTCTACTTTTTTGTCTAATCCCTTTTCGTCTTGACAGCTACACATCCTTTCAGACCCGTAGCGCTAAGTTGACCATCCTTCCACTGTGAGAAGACAAACACCTATGGATGTTTTCAGATCTGAAGCAGCTTGATTTTCTCCTTTCTCTCAAAGATGAAAGCCTGTTTATCTGATGGGAACAGTTTTGGTGTCTACCAGGTCTTGCATGGTTGTTAGGAGTCCCATTTTCTTAAATCTTATAAAATAATTTTTCAACTCCTGTTTTTTTCACTTATTTTCTTTTGACCTTCCCTTTCCTTATGCAAGTGCTTGTTCCCACACGTCATATGGAAGCAGCTGCAGTGTCACAGCCTGATTGGCATTATTAGTTAGCACTCAGTGATTACCCTCTTCATGGCTTTGTGGCCTTTCCCCTGCATGCTCATTACTGTCACCAGCAGAAGAGCATCTGCTCAGGCTGAGGGCGAAACACACGCTGGACCAGACGTGTTTGTCCCCTTGCTGTGGCGCAGATGCAGACGGGGAACTAACAGGCTAATGTTGGTGCTGGCTTTTGCACGCAGGGCTGAAATCCTCAGCCTTGTTGTCTAAAGCGGACAGGCTGAGGAGAAGTGGAGGGAAGTAAAAACAAGCGAGGGCTGAACATCATTGTATAATAGAATTAGTGGGAAAGTTCAGGCATTAGACTTTTCCCCCCCCCCTCAGGAGTCTCGCCAGCCTATGGGAAATGATGCTTGATGCTGCAAGAAGTTTCTATAATAGTACATAATTCTTGTCTGCTTCTCTACTTTGGTGCCTCTTTTTACCTTTTAAGCTCTCCACAGTGAGTATCAGCTGATGATTTTTAGCAAATTTTAGTTCTCGCTTTCTGTCTTGATTTTAGACTGCTGTTGATTTGATGTCATATATAGGGCACTCTTGATGTGTAAATGGATTAATTAAAGGCATTAGTTAGGATTTCAGAGTCACACTGCGCTGTCCTTGGCACAGCAGGACAGAATGGACATGAGAGGCATTAAAAACATGCATAAATTGTGACATATTTTAGCAAGTAGTATTATTCCAGTAGTTCTGGAACTGTTATGTATTTATTTTATACATTATGTTTAATTGAGGCTGCAGTTAGCTTTCTCAGTTTTGCTCATTTTACACCCTGAGTATTTATAAAATACTTTTATCTTCACAGATATTATTTATGATTCTTGTTTAATCCAGCTTTGCTCTGTGGGATCTCTCCACTGCCATCCTATTCTCGATCCCTGAGCAGAGAAGGTGGATTAGACAGAATAAACTCTTTCTGTCCACTCTGTTTGTCCACTGACAAGGACTAGTCCCTCTGTGTATTGTCCTGAATTGCATTATACTGCAGTACATCTCAATCAAATGCAGTGTCTATTAATGCGAACATCAGTTTTCTAGTAGACGCATGGTACTATTGGTATTCAGGGCTGTTCCTCTGCCTCAGATGTGCCTTGATCTGATTACTATCTTCACTGTCAGTATTTCACACTTGAAATGTTATTTTATGCCCCAAAGCAGAAGTGATGGAGAAAAGAAACGTGTATGATGTCATCAGCTGTGCTTGGCTGAAACTGATAGTGGAGTGCCTAGAAGCTCCTCGCTCCTCTCTCCTCGCTCTAGCCTTTAATCACACAATGCACGGTGGAGATTTACTTGTTTGGAACAGTGCTTGAACGTGTTGACATCACAAATTAGAATAATCACTATTGCTGCTTGATGGGGGAAGAAAGAGGATTTGATTGATAGAAAAATGTAAAACAGGGTGTTACCACAGGATGCTGTGAGAAGTGTTGGCACTTGCCCAGTAATCATGGATGTGCTCCTCTGTCTGCTGTTGCTGGTCCCTTCTTAATATAGATTCAGTCTGAGTGAGACCACAGTTAATATTTATTGAGTTGCGTGATGTTTTCAGTAATCGTCTGTATTTGTCCATATGAGTCTCAACAGTAATATTCAGCTGGCAGCAACAGGCCAGACTGCTTGTTATTAGAAATTGTTTAGTGGATTTTTTTCCCACCAGCACCATCCAAACAACATTTTACCCTATTTGAGTTGTTAGTAGCTTTTGAAAAATGAAATGCCATTCCAGTTTAGAGTCAAAGTTTTAATCTATTTAAATGAAATGATGTCTGTAGGAATGAGTGAACACTTTAGTTTCTGAATATCTTATTATTGCCATTTGCAGCCTACAACCACTGTGCAGGGGAAATTATTTCAAGTAGCCATTTACACATTTTAAAACTTAGTCACCCTAAAATCAAATAGGTGGTTTGAGACGTCAATTATATGTCTGCCAAATTGATGGCCTGACGTTAAATATGTCAGTTTAACTAACTGTCACTTCATGAAAGCACAAACCACAAACATTTTGTTTTGCATCCTCAATTACGTTGTTTTCAACTCCGTAAATTCCTGGACACGCTGTCCTTTCTCTGTCTTTTCCCAGTCATCAGTTGGATACACACGTTCCATGTTCTCCATTCATCTTGATGACATTATCTAGGTAGCTACTTTTAAAGTGTGTTTACATGTGCTGGGTAGTCTTTGGGAAAGTCATTCCTGCCAAGATTTCCAAGATGTTCCAATACCAGTGAGAATATTACAATATATTAGATTGTTATACGCAAAGGTGGTGTTTTCTCACATCCTTCTTACTTAGACTGACAAAGATTACTGTAAATCAGGGATGCTTAGTCCTAGTCCTGGAGATCTACCTCCCCACAGAGTTTAGCTCCAACCGAAATCTAGCACACCTGATCCAGGGCTTTCCGAAGGCTTTCAGGGGCATCTGAACATTAGAGCCAGGTGTGTTGTATCTGAACTCTCTGGGGTGGTAGATCTCCAGGACCAGGACTGCGCACCCCTGCCTTAGATCATCACACATTTTCTGGGGACGCTGTCACCATGGTAAGGTGTGCTAGTTCCTATAGGCTGCTTACCTGGATAGTGAGTAGTAGAACTTGACTGTGGTAAAGAAAACAAAGTTCAGAACAGTGAAAAACAAGAAAACCAAAATCTTCAGCCATTTGCTCGAAACATCTACTCCTAGTACTGTGAAAGTTAGGACTCTGGTTTGGTGTCAAATACCTGGTCTTGGTTTGCCAGTTGAATGGGAGTCAAACAATCATATGTTGTGTTTTAATATTCAAAAATATTGTTCCTCTTTTTATAGGTGCTAAAATGAAATTCTAGCTATGCCACTTCTTTGAACACAGAAGGATCCTTAACTAACTAGTAGTGACTCAACATCAACCTAAACACCCCAGAGGGCCACCAACACTGTTACTGTTAGAACAACAGAATCAGAAACTTAAAATGTGAAAGGCAGTTGCATCAGTCAGTTTGTCTGGTCTCGAACACCTTTCTATCTCAGTTTCTGTGTAGTAACGTTGCCTCGTATACTAACTGATCATCCTCGGTTCATCCTTTACAGTAGCATTTCTTTTACCCCAAGAAGCCAGTCTTGACCCCCATTTTTTATAGGTACTTAAAAAAATGTTCATTGGATAATAAATCTTCGTTTGCTCTTAACTGGAGACAAATGCTCCCCAACTTGAGTTAAAATACCCTCTGAATGGTCCAATTGCCACATGGTTTACCAGAGTAAGCTCCTTTGCCACGTCCATATCTTAACTCCTAGCAGATTCTTGGGCCATACCTCTTTGAGGTTAATGGTACCCCAGTCGAATAAGTAGTCGTAAAATATGCAGTCAAACCTTCATTCATGCTGAAAGCAGCAAGAATATTACGTCTGCCTTAACCTTCAATTAAGACACAGTCAAATATGTTGAAATAGTGACCACTGGCTGTCAAAATTGGAAAATTGGAAGGCGCCCCTGTCAGACCCCCAGACCTGTGCCCTTCAGTGTAGACCTAGGGGGATGGGAATGGCTAAGCCGGTCAGTCAACATATGGCCATGAGCCGGCTAATAATCTGGGCTTACTCACTGGGCTAGCCTCAGTCTGAGCAGAGCAGTCCTTTGCAGAGCCCGACGCAGACATAGAGCTGTCGAAGATTTGTATCAAACACCACCACGGACACCCATGGGCCCAGGCCAGTTCCGATGGCCGAGCAGACTGAGCACGATGCCAGGCCATGCATTTATCTCTCCGCTCTCATCGAGGTCTTCCTCCGCGAGCACTCGCCAGCTGAAGCCCTCTGGTCATTCCTGGCCATGTGCTGGTTCTGGCCTGAGTGTATGGAGGAAGGCAAGGACATTTTCCTGAGCTCCACCTTGCTTGCGTTGCGCCGACTAGTCCAG